AGTGGAGTGGATTGCAACTCTGACTATAACTCAAAAACTAGTCTTAAAGTTTAACTGTAAACTATAAAACTAAAGTGCTCGAGATGTTGCCAAGTATACAGGCTAAAAGCGTCACGTAGAATAGTTCTGGACACTGTTTTCATGTACGTAGAAGTAGTCAAAAAACGAGATACAAACATAAGGCCAGAACCATCTCATCCTACAAGTAAATACTGTGTAACTGCGTAGTGGATCGAAAAAAGCCACTATAAATTTAATTTTACAAGCATGCTAAAATGCGTCTCAATTACGACGCCTCTTCAATTAGAATAAACTCTATAGCATTAAACTTTGCATTTTCTTACTCCACACTATAATAGCAAAAGCTTATATTCTTTGTCTTGACTTTTATATACGTCAAGTATATTAAACTCAGTATACAAAAAGAAATATATTTTTTGGCTTGTACGGTAACAGGCTAAGCCCGATATAGCTCGGCGTACACTTTCGCCTTTAGCTCCGGGCTGTCGGCCGCGACACACCGATAAGGGAAGTTACTCAGGCATCGAGCTCAGCAGCTCAAGAGCTTTCCCTCCCCTCTTTGGCGTTGCGATCCTCGTTGTAGTCGCCTAGCTAGTTTTTAATATACTCAGCTAGGACCGTTACATGCGCCTGCCGATAGCCTTTCCACATACGGTGAATAGATGGTCCCGAACAGTCTCAAGAATTCTGTTAGCTCCGCCGCTGCGGAAATTGAATTTAAGCCAGCATGTAACGGCTAGGGCTCCCCGATGAACCTAACGGGGTTTATGTGAGCAGAGACGAGACACTGGCAGTCGATCTGAGCAGTTGAATGTTACGTTGGTCATAGGTCATGGGAGTGTAACCAAGGAATCGCTATACGCTTGAAGTTTACGCGATGCCTGGACAAACTAGTGTTGCATCGATTGATCGTTGTGAGTAGTTCACTTGCACTGCTCGTCAACACCTCGTATCATCCATAGCGCTCCGACTATTAACTAGAGCCGGCCCAGCCTGCGACTGGTGAGTAACACATCACTTGTGTAAAACTCCGAGATTCCTTCCCGATGGCCCGGCCGAGATCCTACGTCAATTTGTCCGGCGAACTCGTTATTGAAGAGGGACGGTTCGTTGTAAGAAGGGTGACATTGACATTGTGAGTCGGTCGGTATACATCTGACTGGAACGGAGGGCGAGGAACCAAAAGTTAACCATGGACGCCACAACCGCCGAGACAGGATGCTGGACGTCCATCACTTTGACATCACTGTCTGTTTCAGACACGGAATTGAACGGGATCGGTATGACGCCATCTAACGCCCACGGGCTACCAAGAAAGGAACAGGCTCTCGCAGTTTGCGCCATGTCGGTGTAAAGTTCCAGAAAGCTGATAGGATTGAAGGTGTGGAAACACGTCAAGTGAGCCGGGCTATGGCTTCGGCGGCTGTTACAAGTTAAATGCAGTGAATTTGTGAATAATAAAGTTTTACCAGACGCAACACGTTCAAGAACAGCATGCATCTCTCGAGTACTACCAAAGCCAGGTGTTATGATAATGCATTCAATCTAGCCCTATCAAACATCTGACTCTGATGCCGGCGTGACGATCCATTTTTATCGTCCCGATCCCAATCTCAGAGAAAGCGAGATATCCGGAATTCTTGCATATAGGTCCGCATGTCTGAACAGCCAAGGTATGAGGCATCCTTCTCACAATTAGAGGCTGCGGGGTGCGTTTTAGTATCGTATAAGTCTAATAAATACTCCACCACTTCGACAAATTCCTCTATATACTTCTCATTAATTGATATACTGTATTAGTATATAATGCTTTGTAAGAGTATATAAAATCTCGACAACGCAATTCCCTCTCCAGCCCTTTATTAATCCCACTACTTACTGACCGCCGGATCCTAGATATACGACCCTTTGCAACAGGTGCATAATATAGCTCGTTTTCCTAATTTGCCTATATTATTGCTTCTAGGAAACCATTTATCATACAGGTGAATACACTTCTACTGCTGCCAGTTATAGACCTTGAGAAAATTTCCTGATTTGTCAATGTCTTATACTCCGTACGGAGGTGCAATTTAAAAGTCCTGCCTGTTACACAATCCAACGGGTGTTACACAGAGCTCTTGTTTTCTGTTACACGGAAGAGGCCTAACGGTTCGCGAAGCCCAATAAAGGGGCTTCACCGACAAAGGACCTATTGGTTACACAGATTAAACACGTGCCCAGGTAAGAGCCTTAAGCACATGTATTTTTATCTTATATAAATAATAGTTATTATTTCCTTTTGTCCTCTTAAAAAACCAAGGATCTTTGACAATCTTTGATATTATCTTTGTATTTAAACCTTTTAACGTTCCGAGCCCTATTAAGCCCTCGTCGCATTTTCTCAAAGTGGCATTCCGAAGGCAATCGTTACACCAAATTACACTACAAAAATGATGCCTAACCCCTCTTTCGAACCTTGCTCCCCAAAACCTTCGATTGTAAAGCCCTCTCTGCAACCCGGTTTTGAAGTCCTCTGCGGCCTAACTTCTAGCTCTTTGAAGCCTGTTTTTCAACCCTTCAAAATGACACCGAGCATCACTGCTCAAAACGGCGCAACTGATGATTTGGGTTATTTTGAAGGGTTGAAAAACAGGCTGCACAGGGCTAGAAGTCGGGCTACAAGGAGCTTCAAAATCAAGCTGTCAGAAGTAGCTGAACGATGTTCTTCTTGTACTGCTTGTCTGTTCGACTAAGCATGAGCTGCCGCATACCAGCTCACGACTATATTTACCAGCCCTTGAGTACGACAAGCATACACACGCTCTCTGCTAAATTGGACTTGGAATATCACTTGGGCATACATGTTTAGTCTTTGGCTAGTCGAGCTGGTTACCCTTGGGGTCCGCCCGCTAGATTAATGACTTCCCAACCGTGCAATCACGCTCAACATATCAACGGATAAGTACAACATCTTGTCGACTCTGACGTGCTGCAGAGAAAGTTAATTAGCGGCATCTAAGGTCGGTCCCACAAGTTTATTCGCCCCTACTAAGCGTCTCGACTCACACGTCCTAAACGGAAATAACCTCGCTATTAATAAGGTTGCGACGGCAAAGTCGGACCGTGGTGAGGGACCAGATGGCTGATTGATGGCTCTACAGACGAAACCGTCGCACGAGGAGCCGTCTTGAAATAGGCGGTCGGATCCGCCTTGATGGACAAACCTCTACCCCGGAGACGCTTTGGTATTGGTTTGAAACCCGGGGACCAGGGTGACGTGGCCATCCAAGCCCCTACCTCAATCTTGGTACGGGTTGAACCGCAAGGCGGATGGCGTCAGTGGCCTGTGACAAGCTCTCAAGATGAGATCAAGGGCATAGCCAGACACTAGGGACTGGCCGGAGCGAGTACAACCACGTTGTTCGCTAGCCGGATTCTTTAAGTTCTGGATGGGTCTTGTGGCTCTGCCTGCACATGCGTTGAAGAAACGTGGCCAGTCATTGTCAAACTTGACTCGCTATACGAGGAGCCGAAACGTGGCGCAACAAGATGGAAACCATGTGCTAATCCTGGACACCGGAAAGGAGATGTAGGATTCAAAACAGAATTGCATTGGCTGTAATTTTTCTGTAAGAAGTCTTTACATATAGGTTGCGTGTATGGAGTACTACTATCCATGACTTTATCATGCCTACTCCTGTCATGTTGTGAACCAGCCTTTTACATCAGAAACATGTTTAAAACCTGGCCATCTATTATAGTTTAACGCCTGGTCGTTTTTGCAGCTATGCTCCACAAACATTCCCCAAGGCCTCCCTTGGCCATCCAACACCGACATGTCGCCTTGCAGGGCAACCCTGTGTCTCGCCGCAGATGTTGATTGATCTTCATGTCTTGCTTTTGGGTGGCGGCGCATTGCCCCTGATCCCCCAATCCCCTCCGATCCCCCCGACCCCTTGATCCATTGATCCCTTTGCTTCTTTTCATCCTCCCAGCACCGGGCGGTTGGAGCTACATTTCTATGGCTGGCCCAGAAACAATTGATATTACGCTCTCAAAACGAAGAGTTTCCGCCTCTTGCGTATGCACATCCATCTCTTGTGCGAATAGTCGAAATCTTGACCTCCAAGTCAGTATTTCCATCAGCCCAGCAAAGCAACCACGCTCTTTAGACAACATCGCGAGAACTCGCGACTCTCACCATGGTCGCCATACAAGGCCGCCGGTATATAATCCCGGGCCTCATCCTTACCGCCCTCGCTGTTGTCCTTCTCTGTTGTCCTTCTCTCCACGGATCGATCCCACGTCGTGATTCGCGAACAAGTCAACAAATTCAAGCAATACCAACAGGGCAAAAAAGATCCCGCAAAAGAAGCCAAGCCGCCCGGTCCAAAATACCTACCCGCGCCCGAATACGTCCCTCCTCCCGTGGTCGACCCCTTCATATCCCTCGCGACATCGCCGCCGCCCTCTATTCCCAGGTGGAACGTCCCCGAGAAGAATCTACACAAAAAGTACCAACTCCCGTATGCGCCGCCGCTATTCATCGGCTTCACGCGCGGGTGGCCGCTCCTCGTTCAAGCCGTCGTGTCCTACATCACGGCAGGCTGGCCCGCGTCGCAAATCTACGTGATTGAAAACACGGGCACGCAGTGGGCAAACCCCCGGGGCCGGCTCTCGCTCCAGAACCCCTTCTACCTCAACTACAAGAGCTTGAAGAGCCTAGGCGTCAACATTATCCAGACGCCCGTGCTTTTGAATTTTGCCCAACTGCAAAATTACTACATGCATCTTTCGCAGGAGCGCGAGTGGCCGTACTACTTCTGGTCCCACATGGACGTGATTGTCTCCTCGCACGAAGGCGGCCACAACGGGCTGCCGAAAGCAGGCGAGCACGGCTACAGAACCATTTACGAAAGCTGCCTCGCCGAGCTCAACACCACGCTGCACTCGGGGGAGCGCTGGGGAACGCGGTTCTTCGCCTACGACCACCTCACGCTCGTCAACCGCGCGGCGTACGAGGAGGTCGGCGGGTGGGACACGTATATCCCGTACTACATCACCGACTGCGACATGCACCAGCGCCTGCTGATGCACAACTGGACCCTGGACGCGAGGGACGTCGGCGTCATCAGCGACGTCAACACCGTTCTGAAAGATTTGCGCGCGCTGTACCGCGAGCCGGCCGCCGAGCTGGACTATCGGGATCCGAATCCTCCGGAGAAGACGGCCCCGGCGGCAGAGCAGGACGGGAAGGACTCGAGGGGCGGGGAGCCCGCTCGCGAAGGGGGGGATCCCGAGCACGTCGAGTACTGGCGCAGGCTGCAGGCGGTGGTGGACAGGATGGTGGAATATAAAAAGGGCGACCGGGGGCGAAACACGTGGCAGCCGTCGCAGAGGGGCGGCGAGGGCGAGCCGTTTTATTATTCTTCGCGCGGGGTGCAGAGGGCGTTTGATATGCTGACGGCCGTTGGGGGGCAGATATATGAGGAAAAATGGGGGCATAAGGACTGCGCGTTGATCGAGGGGGGTAAGCTGAAGCTAGAAGACCAGTGGCGGGTGGCCCATGATTGGGATTAGGATTTCTCTCGATGAGGTTTTCGAGAGACACCAGACCAGACTGTATATGCAAGGGGGTGATGGTGTGTGGTGCACGGAAACGCTTGGTTGCCGCCAAGCTCGCAAAATGCTCGTGCGAGACGGAGTTGTGTCATTCGGACACATTTCGCACGGTACAGAACCGAATTCTGCAGCGATGAATGGGAAAAGTCCTCTGTGAATCGGGCAACGAGGGTCTTGATTCCCGGAGTGAAGGACAGGTCATATACCGAGGACTTTTGGAACAGCACCACACTCAAGCGGAAGGGAGGGCTCGCAAAACAGCTATAGCTTGTCATCCCATGGATCCAACTCTCTGCGTCTATGGCGCTTTTCAACAATCAGCTAAGCATTGTACACCTTGAGAACACGACCAAGAGAGCCCGAGTCTCGTCTTCCGCATACTGCTCTTCCGCGTCCAAGGTGCAGCCGTCTTTTCAAGAACTACAAGGAAACTTGGTTTCCAAATGGCTTACTCTGTCGCACTGGACTCAGAGTGCCACGCCGAGAGTCTTCTAATGGTTAAACGGATGGGACGACATGCTACTGCCCGGTCTCTCGGGCACATTGGCCCCCTTCAAACTCGTCGGGTCTGTACGGCAGTCCGGTACATTAACATGTCAAGTGTAGAATCATGAGACTAAAAGCATTAAATAGATAATTCATCCAGATATCCAGCGACCAGAGTCACAGCGAATTTCTATCTCTATTTTCTTGGCCGGTGCATCTTTCATTTCACATGAATGGTGCCAAAGCCGTCTATGGTGGAATAGCTTGCAATGAATGGCCCCAATTATTCAACATGGAAATGCATGAGGAGACACTAAAGTTTGGCAACATTTTGATCGATGCTATTATTATGATAGTATAAGATGCCTAAGCATGACGTGCAATGCTAACGCCCAGCAATAACCATTGTCATGTCGGCCGGGCTCTGCCGTGTCGCCATCGGAAGTCGTCTCGTCCGAGGAGGACATCTCAGATGACCATGTCCCACCGACGTCTTTCGCACCGAAGCAGCAGCCAATCTCGCGGGCGCCTTTGACGAAAAGCTCCAGTCTGCACCATGGATTTGTTACAGGCCTCGAAACTCCATCCGGCAGCATGGCATGCTTGCACGGCGCTGGCGGAAATCCAACAATGAGAATCAATGCAAGGCAGTCAGCGCCCTCGGGAATCCCCCCAAGCTCCCCCACGGAGAAACAGGATGCCAAGCAGCGTCATATGCCGATCGGCTGCATCTCTCCGCTTCCGAAACCCCTCTCCCGTCGCGGCCGACGCCGCATTACAAATGACCCGGCGGGTGTGGGCCGGGTATATCTGCGTCGAGAGGCAGCTGTAAGTCTGACGCCTGCGGCTCTCAACCCGAGCCCATCAATTGATACCTGTCGAACTTGCCATCTGCCCACCCGACACAATCATACAAGCCGGAAAATGGACCACACGCAGCCCTTCGAGTCCGCCATCAGCGGCGGCATCCTGCCCTGCGTGGCGCTTCTCGCCAGGCGTCTCGACAGTATGAGAACCCCGACACGCCGCACATGGACATAGCTGACGAGGCCAGACTCGGACGTGCTTTCGACCTATCTGGGGCCGAAATCCATCGCCGCCGCAGACCCGGACCCCATCGACGCCAACACCATCTTCACTCTAGCTTCCATCACCAAGCTGGCCACGACGGTCGCCGCCCTCCAGCTCGTGGAGCGCGGCCTCATCCAGCTAGACGACGACGTGGCCGAACTGCTCCCCGTCCTGTGCCGGCAAAAGATCGTCTCGGGGTTCGACGACCAGGGCCAGCCCGTGCTACAAGACCGCAAGAACCCCATCACCCTCCGGCACCTGCTGACGCACTCGTCCGGCGCCGGATACACCTTCCTAGACGCGGGCGAGAAGCTTCGCCAGTACCACCGCTTCCACGGCACGCCGCCCAACCACGGGCCTACCGTCGAGTCTCGCTTCGGCGTCCCGCTGCTGTACCAGCCCGGCGAGGGGTGGGCGTACGGCGCCGGCATCGACTGGGCCGGCCGGCTCGTCGAACAGCTCAGCGGCCAGTCGCTGGAGGACTACTTCGCCCAGCACATCTGGAAGCCGCTCGGGGCCTCGGGCACGTTCACCTTCTTCCCCGGCGCGCAGGGACTCGCGGGCATGGCGTCCCGGGCGCGGGAAGGGCCGGACAAGCTGACACCGGTGCCGGGCGGGCTCGACCTCAACGCCGGCGTGGAGGCGTGCTTCGGCGGGCAGGGCGGCCACGGCAGGGCCGACGACGTCCTGAAGCTGCTGCACTCGCTGCTCGCCAACGACGGGCGGCTGCTGCGGCCGCAGACGGCGGACGCCATGTTCCGCGGGCAGCTGTCGCCCGCGAGCAAGGCCGCCCTGAAGCAGTCCCTCGAGGGGTCGGCGTGGGCCGTCGGCGACTACTACCCCGGCGACGAGTACGACTGGGGGCTCGGGGGGTTGCTGATCGAGAAGGCTGGCCATGGTGCGCCCTACGCGAGGGGCGCCAACACGCTCACGTGGAGCGGTGCGCCGAATTTGTTCTGGGTACGTGGCGAGACTTGCGAAACTACCAGCACACATTGATGCATAGAATGCTAACGCGGGCGTTGTTGACAGTTTATCGACCGAGCGAACGGGCTCTGTGGGCTGTTTGTGACGCAGCTGCTCCCGCCGGGTGATGCCGGCGCGACGGATGCCATTCGGGAGTTTCAAAAGGTCGCTTACCAGAAGAACAAGACGCAACATTGAAGGTTGAAAGTACAAGCGTCGGTTGCAAAATAATCAGTCAATCAATTCATGCTGAACCCTCGCCACCAGTGCATAGCCCGTGGAACACGTAGCACGTAAGCAATTCCGCCGTAGCCAATTTGCAAGCAAGAACGCCCACGGACCAAAAACGGCCGACATCGCACGGCGAATCCATCCTTGAGAGAAAATCATGCATACATGTAAATGTCAGCACCGGACTTAAGGCGCCAGTGCATTCGGTGCCGCCGCTCGAGGTATTGATTGATTTCCAAGCACGGCGGTTGCCCCGCGCCCTGCAGCGGGGTTCATCAAAGTCTGATCAATTCATTAATCCTTCGACCTGCTTCACACCGAGTCACTTCCATCAAGAGCACTCACCACAAACGCTCCAAACACCAAACGTCCCTTCATCACACCAGACCACATCGTCATCATGGGCGTCAACCACATCGTCATGTTCCAGTTCAAGCCGGACGCCAGCGCCCAGTCCGTGAAGCAGGTACCTTGCGCGCCCTGTTTTCCTCACTCCGTCACTAACGCCCCCAGTGCTGCGACGAGGTCCTCGCCCTCAAGGACCAGTGCGTCCTCGCCTCCACGGGAAAGCCGTACATTGCCCGCTCCCAAGGCGGCAAGGACATGTCCATCGAGGGCTTCAGCGTGCGCGGCGCCCCAAGTCCACTCCCCCCCCTCCGGTAGACCAGACACTGACGACAGGCAGAATGGCTTCACGCACGTCTTCGTCATGGAGTTCGACTCGGTGGCCGATAGGGACTTTTACGTCAAGGAGGACAAGGCCCATCACGGCTTCATTAGCAAGTGGATCAGCTCGGCGGATGGTATTATTTCCAAGGCCATGGTTGTCGACTTTGTTCCCGGGTCTCTCGAGTGAGGCGGCCCGTACGCTTGGCGCAGCCGAGTTGTTGGCCATGTGGTAGCAGGGCGTACGGGACATGTGGACGGCAAAAGAGACGAGCTACGCAGGAGACGAATGCAACGGTTGTGAGCCGCGTCTGGGACTTGTTTTTCTTATTAGTTGCGGCCTGGTGGAACGGACCGACTTGCAGCTACCTATGCTTTCGTCCCCGATGCCCCGTCTATCGAATGACGTCAACTTTTGGACGCTTGTTTTCGCGGTCCAGCTCTGAACTACTTGTACATGGCAGACATACCCCGTGCCATCCTTGCCAACAACCCGTCCATCATGAACTGGCGAATAGTTTGTAGCTATACAGGAAAATGTTCCATCGCAAAGCAGCCAGCACTAGTTGTGGCATATCGAGCCGGTTGAGGCGTTGAACAGGTCTCGGATCTGTAAGGCGAATTTCGCGTGAATGGGGATGAGACGTCATGCCATTATTTCCACTATGTGTATTAGGTTTAGTATTACCCGCCCAATCGTAAATTTGTTGCGGTGTTGGTGAATGTGGCCACGTCGGACACGTCTCCTTGCCCAAGGGAGTAAGTCTTGTGATATTGGCACAAGTAGGCATGGAATGGCCAAGGTGGCGCGGCGCTTGGATCGTCCGTTTACCCTCAGGTACCCCCGTCGCCAAATGCGTTGCCGCCTTGTCATGATGGCTCGTTTGGTACAGTACGCATGGCAGTGGCACTGACGACCCATCTTCCTATTTTACTGCGTGCCGTGTCAGCACGACGCTGCATTATTTCGTAACATGGTTCTTCATTCTTCTCTCCATTGGCCATGGGAACCTTGTCGAGAGAAACTCAAGTCGATTTCGTACTGCACCATTATCGCCCCATCTGTGCTTCCCGTCGAGGTAGATGATGCCAGCTGCTCCTTGTCTTTGCCCGTGCTTATGACGGTGTCGGATCCTTCTCCCTGTCCAAATACTCGTCCCGAATCCGTCACCACCACTGCCTGGTTGCCGTCTGCACCATTGGCGAGATTGCAAGTCGACTCGTTTCCATATGTCACCCCCGCTGAGCGATGGACGTGGCCGAGTTTGACGGTATTGTACGTCGGCGCGCTGGGTTCTTTGCGAGAGGAGAAGTTGTGTCCCCACCAGCCTCCGAGAGCGTGGACAACCGGCCTCATCACGGGGAGGCAGCCTGGGGATGGAGAGACCGGGTCAGATTGGCGCTGCGGCAGTTGGTCGTTGCATCGTCAAGAGTCTACTTACACGCTATCACGCTGAGGTGAATCTCTACCGCGGACCAGACCAAGGCGGGTGTGCAATTCCACAAAACGTCGTCGTCGTACGAGTCGTAATTTGACGAAACGACTATCGTCATGCTGCCGGCAATGACAACACTGCTACACAGTCAGACGGCCCAAATCAGCCAAGCAAACTCGGTCGTGGAAGCTTACACGATGCTGAACATGAACATGACAGCAATGGCCAGTTTTTGCGGCCAGGGCAGAAACAATCTGCTAATTTGCGCTGTGCGAGAAAAGCACCCATTAGACGATTCCCCATTGGCAGTCATCGGGGGGACTGTTTACTCACTTGCCGGCAACACCATGAGCGCAACATCGATGACAAGATGTGCTGAAATGGACCAAAAAAGGAACCGGGACGGATCAATGGTACACGTCCCCTCAATGGACTTGTCCCATAGAAAGCGAGGCGGGTAACACTGGAACACGGCGATGAACAACTAATTACCACTTTGTTAACGCATTGTTTCCAGCGTGGTTGGCACGTCTCGGAGATGGTCATACTCGCACTATATACCAAACGCTCACAAACGCGGCCATGCCCAATATAGTCATTTTTGCCCATGTCACCGATTTGAATAGTCGCCAGAATAGCGCCAGCAAGGATAGCTGCGCAGCTGTGACGGCCACAGTATATGTGTGTTCATGGATCTGCAGTGCCATTGCTTGGTAGTAGCGTGCTTCGCCAGGAGAAATGGTGAGGTCTCCAAGATGTCGGCCGAGGCCCTTTGTTATTACTGCGGTCCACGTTGGTTAGCCAGCATCCTTCGAGCATAAAAGAAAAAGAGGGTTACAAAGGCCGCAGCATACAAAAGAATGCGGCTATGTCGTAGGCAATTGCCGACGCCTGAGAGCATGTCAGTCAAGATGCCGCCTAGGGCAGATTGTCGTTTCTTGAGGCCGTACCAGCGCCAGCACGGCTAGATAATCGTCCCACCATAGCGGAGCGTGTTTAATTCTTCTCGCATAAAACCGTAGGCCGAGTAGTATTGACGCTGGAATTAATGTCGTCAAGATACCCGCGTAGACGGTGTGGGTGATGGATTCAGCCATGGCGGGTGCCGTCGCCGTGCAATCGTAAGTGTCCAAAGTCCAACCGGAATTCGCACCTTGGCCTCGGGTTCAGGTCAGAATAGACATTATATAAAACGCTGTATTGAAACATCAGAACGACTGTGCTTCTTTCGGTGTTGAGATGGGGTCAAAAGGGGTATAAAGGCAAGAGGACGGACGAACTTGCAAACTAGTGTGGGATTCTGTCGATATATTCTGATATACTAGCGTGTAACACTTGATCTAACCAACTTGGCGGCTATACCAATAAAACACAGTAGGCCGGGACGCAGGCAACATCTATATTGCAGGACGGCTAAATGTGTTTCCAGGATCTGACAAGGGTTGCCCTTGTTTCACGTTGCAGACTTGGGATACACTTGTCTCGGAATGTGGTTCAAAAATCGGGGACTGTGACAATGATGCAACCGAGCAGAGACAACCAAACCAGTAGGAGGGCTGAGAAGGTCGAAATAACTTTGCAAAGCATTCGTGCAACGCCGTTTCTTGATTTGATGTTGTGTCAGGAATCAAGCTCGGACATCCATCTCTGTTCGTCCCAACCAGCACAGCTTGCCCATCATTTTGATCCTATGCCCATCCTAGGAAGGATCTGGTTGGGGCCCCCTTGTGCCTTGGAAGAGATGCAAGGCGCCAAGGTTGGACTACGAGTAACTAGTGGAAAGCCTTCGACCGAGTGACGGCCGTACAGCCACGGCTCTTGGCTGATTGATGGCGCATGAATCAGCATGATAGCCACTGAGGCCAAGGCTGTTTGTTTGCTGGGGTCGCTTCGCTCTTGGTTCGCCGATTGGTGCCAATCCAAGGCCAGGCATTTGATAAACGGCACTGGGTGAATCGCACACGTTGCTGAAGCGGTCCGATTCTACGAGAACCAATCGTGTGCCTCATTCCGCCATGGTTCATAAAACATGACCTCCTGTTTCGTGATTTGTAAACGGTCGTCCAGCTAAACGTGCGCTAGGCGGGCATTCAACCAAGGCTGCGACTGTTCTAGGTAAGTCCAGGGAATAGATTTGGGGAATTGCTCAAATGAAGCGTTATCCATACGAGCCCAAGTTCATGATGCACATGTCACCCTCCAACCTCGCGCAGCTCCACTGTCAAACTCGGCCAACGCGGGCTTTCGAGTTAATACATGGGCGTTATCAAGGTGTATTTAGGACGATTAATTAAACGAGCCGGGCGCCCCGTACGAGAGTGATGAAGCGCAAAATAGACTCTGGAGCTGCAGGACGCCATTTATTGACAGGGCCGTTTATCAATTATAGCCCAGGTGCCGTTATGGTGCCAATTTGCACCAATTATCCCCCCAACCCCCGCATTGGCGCCGCCAAAGTAGCCTCCAAGCATGGGGAAGCGGGTTGGGTGCGTCGCAAGCGGCCAGTGCATTGAGCCGCCATTCAGAAGAACGTTCCATATCAAGGGTCATGAAGAGGGGCGCAAGGGGCAAGGGGCAGCCTGCCGTTGCTCGTGTTGGTCGTCTTCAGTCGGTCGTTGCTCGATCGTCGCCCTGGTTTCCGGCGGTGAAGTCAATTTGCTTTCTGGGCCCTTGGGACGAAAACCTGGCGCAAGCAAGTGGACAAAGAGCCCGGGATATCAGCTCACAAGAAGGAGGAGAAGGAGAGGAAGAAAAATATATCGTGCTATCAACTCGTCAGCGTCCACCAGGAACTAAAGAGTCAGTCAGTGGCTGGCTGTGGGAGTTTTCCAGTCGACGTTTGCGTGTTTACCATGGTGCGAAACATGGCTCCCGATGTCAACATTTGAGCTAGCCAAGGCCCAACTGATCAAGGCACGTGCAGCCGGCAACATGGGAGGGCTTCCGCCAGCCAGGTTCCAGGTTGGTGGCTCGTGCAGATCCGCCACCACAGAGGAAGGTGAAGAGTCCGGTCCGGTCTGGAAGGAACGTCCCAGTGCCGGCGACATGGTGGGAGTCGTTGGCCAGACCAGACTCTTGTGCCAGATTCAAGATGACATGACGGGACTTCTTGATAGCGCTCCCGCATTCTGCTCCACCCCTCACAACCTTGAAACCTTTGAAGCCGCTCGACATCAAACGACGACATCCATTGCAGCATCGCAATCTCCAGCCCGTGCATCTAATCTCGCAGCTAGTTTGCGCGCCCCAGTGCGTTGGCCGCCCATGTCGGTGGCTGGGAGAAACACCGCAAACGCATGCCACAGACACTGCACACTTTCGTTGTTGGCTCGGCGGCTTCTCGACGGAGCATCAGCACACGTACGATGAATCACCTGGTGTCTTGTTCAAATTAGCCCAGTGGCCAAAGCCTCCCGAAATCAGCCGTCAATGTCTCGTCCGTGCTGGCTTCCAGTTGCCTTCCTCAAACCCTTTAAATCCACCCGGCAAACTCTCATCCTCTTACCGAGCAAGACTCATCACCACCACGGACACACGCCACCGCCTCAGCGTGCAGCCACCGAACCACCTTGGGACGAAACATTCGAGTTTACGGAGCACGGAGTATCTGCTGCCGAATCTGCCTGACACGCAGCCGTTGTCGCACGTCGCAGATTCTGGCCGTTGCTATTGGCCGCAGTGCACATTGGATAGTCATGGCAGCAGATCTGTCCAAAACGTCAAGAACTCACAGCGGCACCATGGAGATGGACGCCGCACAGGTACCGGGCACCGTTCACCTTGTTGACCTAGATCGTAGCGCGGCGACTCCGCATACTGGCAATCACAATGATATTATTCTCGTCCCAACGCCATCGTCGGATCCCAATGATCCCCTCAACTGGTCGCCGTCGCGAAAGCGGCTGCACCTTGTTTGCTTAATTGTGTGAGTGAAGGAATTTGTGTCGATGGGTCGTTCAGAGACTTGAACAAGAGTCCATGAGGCTGCTGCTGAATATGCATGTCTTGCATTGTACAGTTTTGTCTTCTTCAACGGCATGGCCCTGTCAGTTGTGTACTCGGTTCTGGTTCCGCTATCACCTGCATTGCAGCTTACAGGCATGTTGAGAATGCTACATGGGAGCTTTGTTTGCACATGGCTGACCTATTTTTGGACTCGATATAGTCAGCGACCTCAATGCCGGTACAGGATACATGTTCCTGCTCCTCGGCTGGGGCCTTCTCTTCTGGCAACCGTTTGCCCTACAATATGGAAAACGCTTAACTTACCTGCTCTCCATGCTTGGCATTGTGGTACCAACTTCCCCATGAGCTTATTAAGACTTGAAATGCAATTCAACCTCCTTGCTAAGTTTCCCATAGGCCGTCTCCATATGGAGTCCATATGCCAGTGGCAACGGACAGTGGATTGCTCGCAACATTGTGACGGGCTTCGTAGCCGCTCCAATTGAAGCCCTGCCGGAAACATCCATCACGGACATTTACTTTACCCATGAGCGCGGCACATATATGGGCTGGTATGCTTGGGTCTTGGCTTCGTCCAACTACTTTGCTCCCGTCATCTGTGGCTTCATCAACGATGGCATGGGCTACAAGTGGCCCTTTTTCTTCATGGCTATTTTTGGCGCCGTCGCGGTTGTTTTCCTCTTCCTCTTCATGGAGGAAACCAACTATGACCGTGCAGTCGCAAACACGGTGGACATGCAGCCGTCCACCAACGAGGCCCAACGAGATAAATACGCGGCTGATGTTGAGGGTGTCCCCGCCACACATCAGATTCCCGTCCCGGGAAAGGAGAAGACTTTCCTCCAGAAGCTGTCGTTAAAGGATAGCCCGCGCCCATTTCTCATGCACTGGCGAGCTTGGCAGTCGCTCAGACTACTTACCTGGCCAAACATATTTTTTGCCGGCTTTTCATACGGGACGTACCTGATCTGGTTCAACATTCTCAACGCCACGGCGTCGATTATTCTGGGCGGGGCGCCATACAACTTTAAACCCAGTATCGTCGGTCTGAGTTATATAGCATGCCTTATTGGCGTGATACTAGGGTGCGTCTGATGCAAACACGGACCTCTGCAAACCAATGCTAATGCGCAAGGAGCAGGTCTGCGTACAGCGGCATAGCGTCGGACTGGGTGGTTCTCAAACTGGCACGCCGCAATCACGGCATCTTCGAGCCCGAGCAGCGTCTCTGGCTCTTCTCGGGCATGACAATCGCCGCCCCCTTCTCCCTCATTCTTTGGGGCGTGGGCGTGAGTCGTCTCCCTCGCCAGACAAATGCAAAGTCGTTCAGCTTCTAACCGTGCGATGCATGCAGGCTGCTCATCAGGTCCACTGGTTCGGCCTCCTCTTCGCAATGGTTGTCCTCTCGGCAACAAGCGCTGCGGGAGTTACCCTCTCTGTCGCATATCTGGTAGACTCGTTTCCCGAAATCTCTGGCGACGGCCTGACGACCATTATCATTATCCGCAACACGATGAGTTTTGCGATTGGCTACGGCATCACGCCGTGGCTGGACGGGCTAGGCCTGCAGAACTGCTTTATTAGCGTGGCATTTGTCGCCCTGGCGATTTGTTCCGTCTTCCTCCCCATGATGTGGTTTGGGAAGAAGTTCAGGGCAATGAAGAAGGAGAGTTATTGGCGGGAGGTGCAAGTGCGGAATGACATGAAGGCGCGCTGATGCTTCCCACATCCGCGGCAAAAGTTGGCACATGTGCACAACGAGGCTTCAGGCACAAAGGTTGCGGTATCAGGATTCATTCAACTTTGGCCCTAGCTAGCTTCATATACTAGTTGAGACAAAACGAGATATACAAGGGCCCCTGCTCCCAAAACTCATATCAATGTGGAGTCAACAGTCCTAGGTAGGCAGTGCTCGAAACGCCTCGGCATCACTGCGAATAACTCGGGGGTCCCCCGGCCTCGATGGAATGACAGCTCGCCTTGAGGTAGCACAGGACCTCGAAAACAGCCTTGCACACCTCGATGGCCCTCTTCTTCCAGTCCGAGTCGGACCACAAGCTCTTGAGCATGTTGTCCTGAATGACCGTGACGATAAAGCGCACATGGTGGTCGTCGACGGTCCAGTTGGTCTTGTCGGGGTGGTAGACGAGGAACTTGACGCTCCGCCCGTTGATGGCGTTCTTGGCCGCCTCGGCCGTCTTGTGCTTGTCGGGCTCCGGGTACGGCGTGCGCGCCCTGGCCACGAAGTCGCGCCAGAATTCCGCCCACGAGCCCTGGACCAGGTCGCTGTTCAGCCACTCCTTGAACCTGGCGGCGTCCTTGAAGGGGAGCAGCTCGAGGATGAGGCGTTCGTGCTGGGCGTTGAGCATGGGCGTCGGGGGAGGGGCCGACGTGTTTGGCGAGGGGGCGCCCATGTTTCTTTCTCAATGGCAGGTTATTTACAGACGTGGCGAGAGTTGATGATGGGTGTGGACCGACAGCCCGGGGCCTGACATGTCAAGAGATGGTTTTTCCATGTTGCATCTTTTGTTGTCGGGCGGGCCTGGGTTTCTTGTTTATGTAGTTGTTTGGCGGCTCGGCCAACGCTTGGTTGCACACGGAGTGGGAGCGAGCTGAGCGGCCAGACTGGCCAGCATGGACAGAGGTGAGGCCGATGTGACGAATCACGGAGCTGGGCTTGGCGCAAAGTGACGCGTCGCCTCGCACGGCGTGCGCCAACATGGGATATGTGCATGTCAGCACGCTGTAGCCGGGCGTAGCGGCCATGACTGGGTCGCGTATGCTTTTATCATGGTTGGGCACTCTTATGAGCGGGAGATATCACAATAGGGAATGCGGTGGGAGGTTTCACGGCCCGGAAGGGACTTTTTCGTGTGTTGTGTGTGCTCTGGCCAATAGTAGCGAAAAGCCCGATAACAAGGCGTCAATCCCAGCCAGCTTGTTCGCGGCGCAGCTTCCGCGCAGCCTAATTGCCTAGTTCCGGGACGTATCGGATGTACTATATAACTGATTTTATACAGACTAGACCCTGATAGACTAAACCTTTAATGAGGGACTTTTGAAAAATAACCATTCCCTAGTGTAGCGTGGGAGCGGCCATGTCGTGGAATTCGAGGGCTGAGCTCTTGACAGTTCAATGTTGTATTTTAGAATAGGGGAGGAAGGGCCCTAGCAGACGTGGAAATAAGAACGTAATTTCTTCACAAAAACGGCGAGCTAAAATTAAGACAGATGCGAGATAATGGCGGCAGGATGCTTTCGACGTGAGCACATCCAGACGATTGTCTGACTCACAAGGCTCAAGCCTCACAACCATACGGTGCAATTAATAGGACTAGTGAATTACATCACTATTAAATCCAGGACTGATGACCAACTCGTACGAAAATCAGGGGGGCGAGACCATCCATTCTGTATATAACAAGACCCCAAGGAGAATCATGTCCATCACCCACATCAACAATCTTTTGGTATATTGACCTCGTCTGGTCATATGTGCTCAAGACGAAAAGTGCACGTTGGGCAAAAATCCAGTACCAATCGACATCTAATTATGCGAGTGAGCCATTATAACTGCCAAGTAAGAGGATGCGCAGTGTCATATCGATATTGGAGATGCCGCCACGATGCAAGTCGTACATGCTGGCTCACACCCGTAAATGGAAGCATATTGCTACAATACCCGTCACTTTGAGACGCTGGCGCTGTTTAGGGACACACTGAACAAGACGCCTGGGAATAACAGACTGTGTACAGTATGCATACAACTTGGTGCTTTTTTCTACCGACTTTAAATGAACAATGGCTGTCAAGTTCTATGGGAGGTTGGGGCGAGGTATCTAAGCAAGGTAAAAGTTGGTTTACATTCGGGCTGAAATACGGCTGCTGCATCGGGCGGCCTGCCGGTCAACTGCCACAAGGACGGTATCCGTGTGATGAAATCAAGAAACCCTATGCCGTCTATTCCAGACACGCCAACGCAAGTCATGAAACTAGTTGTTGAGTTTTGCCGCGTCACTCTTGCTCAGATATCCGCTAGAGTTTTCGTGTTACGAGGTTAGAATTTTACGTCAAGACTTGAGAGACTCGAGTTATCATGAAGTCGAATCATTCTCGGGAGGGTCAACTGCTCAACAGCGACTGCGCGTCACTACCACACGGTTGTGAGATGCATGAGAGAGACAGAGACTTGCACTCCGATATGTTCCTCCACCTTGGTAGAGCAGGTAGAGAAGCTGTACTCGGTAAGCTACGTCAGAAACCGGCGGCTCTGCCGATCAATTCCATTCTCTACGGGGTCTCGGAGACGGTTGGCGAGCTGGGGTTTTGATTCTAGCCGCGGCGAGGTGCAGGCGACTCACAAATGGTCAAGTAGTCCTGACTCCTTTATACAACCGAATTTGTCGACGGGTTTCATGAAATCAACTGACATGCTCTTCGTCACGCTTCCTTTGTATCCATGTCAGCACTTTCATCTTCTCGACGACCAAAGGCCCTCCCTCACGCCCGCCCTCCCCTCCGGGGGATCCGGCTCCGTCGTCTGGGGCCTCGTGGGCGCCGGCATCTGCAACATGTCTGGTGTCGCTCGCCGAGTTCCTGTCGGCGTACCCCACGGCCGGCGGGCAGTATCACCGGGCGGCCATCGTCTCGTGCAAGAGCGCGAGCCGCGCCGTCGGCTACGTGACGGGTTGGCCTGGCTTCTTGGTCCGCTCCAGGGCGCCTCTGCATTGACGGGTACGTCCGGCGTCTTGTATCAAACCGACATAGAAGGCTCAATTACACGGCCAGGCATTTCTTTCATGTACCTGACAGATGCTAGGCTTTGATGCCACCGCACACATTCAACGCAATCACTGCTGCGTTCGTGGTTGCGCTGTGCGTGACGTATGCCATTCCTCCCGCCATCAACATCCTTCGCAGCCGTATAATGTTGCCGGCCAACAGATCCTTCAGGCTGCCCTGTGTACTGGGCTGGATTTCAACATGGCAAGTCCCCCGTCATCATACAACGCGTACGGTGTATCCTTAAGCCACTAACAAAAATCAGGTCGGTGTCCTGTGGACAGTCCTCACAGTCGTCCTTTTCGTGTTTCCGCCCTCTATCCCTGTCACGGCAAGCAAAGTGAACTACTGTATCCTGGCCTTTGGCTTCAAGCTTCTCATTGCCGGCGGGACCTGGGTGTCTGATGGACGCAGGCACTACCAAGGTCCACAACTGAATAGCCAGGGCTTGATGAAGGGCAAGCTGGAAATGATGGAGGCCGCCATGGGGGTGAACTCGTCGAAGAAGACGCAGAAGGCGATGCTTCAAGGTCAAGTCGCGGCAGCCTTGCTATAGAAGCCTAGATGTGTAGCGAGCCAAGTATCACGACGCGGCCGTCACGGTATACGGAATGTGCACAATGTGAGAGTGTAGTGAGAACTACTCCGTACACACGTGTAGAGCCCTTGTATCGCAATTGGTAAGCACATTCCTACGTCCTAACGTCACTTAACCCAAATAGAACGCTCGATGGACGCGTTTGATCCCCTTAGGCCGGAGTACACGGTAGCATGTTCTATCCATCATGGACCAACACGAAAACAGCAAATCTAGGCGAGATCAGGGCCGGCGCAAACTCAGAATGTGGCTCGGCCCGCGACCCGTGACTCCTCGGGGTTACATAGAAGAGGTCGCAGTCATTCACACGAACATTACTTGCTGCGGAAAGAGATACATCTTGATTCACCCGCTACACTTGCTTGGCTGCTTCTCTGCTCGAGGTAGGCTTGCATCGCAAGACGCGGAAGAAGAAAAAGTTGACATGTAGCTCTAGGGTAGCAGGTCTCACAGCCACCTGACGCACGACACGGCGTTGTCCCAGCGTTTTGATGAAATAAATTAGTTACTTTGCCTGATTGGCTTATGAGGAGCCGCCCGTGCGGTGGTAATTTGGTGGTTTGGCTCGCCGTGATGAATCATGTTGGTCTACCAGGCCAAAGTGTATTGACCTCGCAATGTGTCACGTACTGTACTTGACAAGTACATATATGTACTCTAGCGGTTGAGGACCGGGGTCGAGAGCAGACAGTATCTGCCCACAGCTTTGTTGACTGCATGGCCAGAATTGTTGCCTAGCTAGCACGTTTTTGGAGCGTCAAAGAAACAAAGGCTACAAGTGCCATCTTACAAGAGCATTACCAGAGGTGAGACAAGCATAGGGCCGATTGTGAAGGGGCCGTTCGTTTCAGGAGCAAACATCATTTGGTAATATTACGTCGGTCCGCACTACTGTGACCCGTGGATTAATTATAGAAAATGCTTGATTCACACATCCGGACTGTAGCCCAGAACTGGATTTCGTAAGAGTATGCACCCCAACCTCGGCGCTCGCGTTGCTCGGCTTACCGAGTAGAGCGCCACGCTGAGATTGTCTTTCATGGTCGTGATGCTACAGTGCTGCACTGGGATGTACATGATGATTTCATCAACTGCAGCCACTGTAGGTTGGTTACTGTGGTCGGGTTGCGTCTGTGCAAACTGTACGCAGTTCACTGTACTCCGAAGGACAGGGGCGTGGCTTGACGCCAATGCCGTAGCCGTAATTCGTCGAGTCTGCCCACGGGCACAGTGTGCCACATCCATGCTGGGCGTTCGTGTCAACGGTGGTTGGTGGTTAGAAGTTTGCTCTCATTGGCGTTTGGATGGCGGACCTTTCCAGACGTTGGGTATGTTGTGTATCGGTATAAATTGTGACGAGAACAATTCGTAGCCCGAGGTGAGAAATCGCTCGTTAAATTGCGGCGGTTGCACGGAGAGCCACTCTGAGCAAAATCACCGTCATTGGCCAACGAGTGTGGCTGCAAGTACTAGTTATCTAACGAGAGGCAGTTTTTGCCTACGGACCAAAGGAAAAATTTGAGCTGGTGGAAGTGGCCCCTGTTCCGGGGCTGTCCTGTCGCTCTCTGTCCAACTCCCAAAACAAGCGGTAAGGGCGGTGTTGTGCTGTGCTGGCCGCGCGATTTTCCGGCATCACATGTATCACATGTAGTGCCGCAGTTGTGAGTTGTCTTTCGAGGCGTGAGATATCAGGACAATTTGTGACTGGTAGCTTGGTGGTGCTGCAGCGCTACAACATTCGCCGCATTGGCCTGAAGCGCAGGGAGTACTCCGTAAAGTCTGAGGCAATGCAACGACGCTGGAGAGATGGGGTAAATGCTCACGACTGTGCTCCGTACGGAGTCGTGGAGTTGTAGCGCATCACCTACCGGGTTAGTATGTACGTAGTAATTAGAGAACGGAGCTCAGAGGTTCGATAACAAGCAGGACGGCGGGTCTTGTGCCCTCGGTTTACTGCCTTTGCATCCCGCATAGTTCGCACTGGGGATGAAATATCGGTCGCTGTGGATCTGTACCACAGAGTCGTAGATAAAATTGAGCAGCTGACCCAATTCAGGGACTTGGTATTTCACGGGCCGGGTCGCAGGACTCAGGACTCCATAAGCCGGCCCGCGTCTCCGTCGCACGAGACACGAGAGTGTCGAGGGCGAAACTACAGTGACAAATATGTCACTGTCGGCCGAAAACCTGGACCTTGCCATGGCATTGCGCAGTGTTGTTGGTAGCACAGGTTGGGGCAGCGCATCAGAGTCGAGCCCAAGGGCGCTCTGTTCATGGACGGGCTCGGGCGAGGCGCTCCTATTTCTCCTCCCCCGCATTTGTGGCATTCTCATGAGCGACTCATCAGCCAATGTACGTATGCAGTATTCAGGCAGTGGCAGACTGTCTCACACCAAGGTAATCGACGATTGGCGAGATGCGCCTGAAACGTGGTGGCGTTGTTTTCTGGCTGTCATGATGATGCCGACTCCAGAGTTTGATGGCCAAGATCATGCCTTGTTAGTTTGAGAGCAGCAGGTCTCGGCCTAGGGTCGACGAGGGAGAGATGTCTCCTTGACGAATGTGGTGGCTAGGGAGATGGCATGTGTGCAATAAGCAACAAGCAACAGTAAGAAATAAGCTCACGGGAATGGATGACATGGCTGCAGCTTCAAGGCGGCCGAGACAAGGCAAAGCGGCGCGAGGGCAGACATGGACGAGACATGGACGACATACATCGGACATCTAAGGCAGTTGGCGACTAGCATTGGGCAGCTGGCAGCTGGCAGACCACAAGTGCACTTGGCAGCATCGTGCCTGCCTAATTAAACCAGACATATGCAGTCGGAGCCGAGGAAAAGGAAGGCGCGACAAACAATGATGGAGTCAGTCAGCTTGACAAGTCCAAATGTCAAGTGTACATAATGTTTGCAATACTTACAGACTGCGCGAGGGACGACTCCAAAGGCTCTCCGTCAATGCAAATGGCTCTCGCATATCAGCAGTCATGCATCCGTCCCAACAACAGCTGCCGAATTGACCGACCGATGCGTCGGACGGAGCATCACCATGATGACTGATGACGCATGTCTTGATTGGCTCCCGTTCATTTCTTTAGCTTCAACTTGGCCCCAACCGACCAAAGGCCCACACGATGCCACGCTCGACGGCTGCCACTTTGCCACCCTCCAAATCGCGTTCACGTCAACTCAGAATGCTGCTCACTCGTCCGTGCTTGCATGTTGCATTTGTTGCTGCAAGCCGAGCAGATGAGGCTAATACTCTGAAATGCTGCATCTGGCTCCATACATCGCCGGTGCTCTGGACATGATGGACGGGGATGGGACGCGCCTTGGTGGATCTTTTGGTTCCTGACCGTCCAACCATTTTGTCCTTGGTTCCAAGGAGCCCCCTTTGAGGTTGGCCGACGGCTATCGTCACTGTGGCATGCATGTCAGTTGCTTGTCACGGCCGGATGTGTGCGTGACAGGGATTGAAAAAAAAGAAAGGAAGGAAAATAACACCCCAAACCAACGGTAAAGAGTGTATATCGCTGCTGCTGCTCAGCTTGCGACAGAAAAAAATTCTGCCCTCTCACTCGCCATCTTTTTGAGGGCGTATTGACACTTTGTTCCATGTCATTGATTCATTCGCTCATGACTTGGGCATACCTTGGTTGTTGATGTCACTTTCGGCATTGGCAAACCCGAACCAACCCCGCGCACAAATTTCGAACACGAGTGCTCCGTATCTGTCTCCTAATTCGACTCGGAATTTTCTCCAGCCTGGCTACTCCTCCTGCCTATTGCCGAGACACAACCACGCGACGCACTGCCGCTTGGTGGCGGCCCAGTCCTCCCTCCGTACACAGCCTGGCTCTACGGAGACGCAGGCACTCTGGCACAGTGTCGACCCTGACTCGGGTCAATGGTGGCGGCTGAAAAGCCCAAAAGTGGCGACGACAGGCATTCAACTGGTGCTGACTTAGCGAGCAGTCCCGGCCTAGTCCCATGCATGGCCGTCAAGTGGCATTGGTCTGGCGCTTGTAAAGACGTCAACTGGTCCGCATCCCGACGTCACTGAGCAATACAGCCTCTCCATCCCACCTTGCCCTGGCCCTCTTCACCCGCAACCGCCTGTTGACAACGCTTCCAGGCGTTTGCGAAGCCGTCGAATTATCGGCCTCGTCCTCTGTATGATCCGATGGTGTCGACAATCGCCTTCAGACTGTAGAATTCGCCCACCTTTGCAAGGGAACGACACCTTTTGACGCCGAGGACATGTTTGCGCCGGCCACTCCCCCCCACCCTGCTCAATGAATATACCATACACCAACCTTTAGTCACAAGCAGGAGCCGACGACCGCAAATCTGTCTGTATGACGGGCTAGATCCTCGCCTCGCCATGTCTTCGTCGGTGGTGGAGGGCAATGCATCGGTACCGAATCGAGGCCCGGCCGTCTTCGCCGTCACAACGGCCACATTGGTTCTGGCCTCAGTGTTTGTCGGCGCCCGCATGATATGCCGCTACTTTATCGTTCGCAGAGTCAGCTGGGATGACAGGGTTATGATGCTGGCCTGGCTCATTGCCTTTGCCCTCTCATTCTCCATCTGCTACGGCGCGACGGTTGGGCTTGGCAAACAAGACGATGACATTAGCGACTCCGACTTGCCGAAACTGCGGCGGTTCGAATACGTTTTTTCTATATTATACAATCCCGCGCTCATGGCAACAAAAACGGCCATTTTGATCTTTTATTTGCGCCTAGCCAAAAACACCCAGATAGTCTTGCGCTACGCCTCCTGGGTAACCCTGGCGGTAGTCAATATCGCAGGCATCGTTCTGACCTTTATGAACATATTCCAATGCAACCCAGTCGCCGCGGCGTGGAAAACCACGACCGACGGCCCAACGCAATGCATCCCGCTCCTGACCGAGTTCATCTGCGCCGCACCAGTCAACATCGTGACCGACCTGGCCATCTTGGCTCTGCCGATTCCTGTACTGACTGGTATGCGACTGCCTTCACGGCAAAAGACTATCCTGGTCATCACCTTTACCCTTGGTATCTTTGTTACCATTGTTGATGTCGTTCGCATTTACTACCTCCAAAAGGCAATCACAGATGTTCCCACTGGTTTGACCAGTGATCCCGACTCGCGATTTGGTGGCCAGCAAGACTTTGCATGGAATGCATCCTTGTCTTTCATGTGGAGCGCAGTTGAGGTGAATATTGGCATGACTTGTGCCTGCATCCCCACGCTCAAGCCGCTCATTCTCAAATTACTGCCCGCCATGTTGTACGACCCAGAGGGAACCCGGGTCTCTCGCACGACGAAATCGAACAGCGACCACGAATCACCACCTTCGCGATATGTTGGGAGTGCCGGGCGGGAGTCCATGGCGACGCCAGAGTCGCCCACTGGCGGGAACCCGAGTGGCGCCAAATCCGATTCGAGCAACGAGATTCCCATGACGGCCATGGAATTCCTGACAACGCCCGACATGAGGAACCTGAGCGAAAGCATGCACCCAGATCTTGCGGCCACACGCGCCCAGACCAACCTAACAACGTCCACCTCGTCCGTCGAGAATGGCATCTATTTTGGTTTTGTGAACATGACCAAGCCCAAGAGCATGCTCCGTGCCAACGCCGCTGAATCCTTCAAATACTGCACGATTGTGGCTATTCTATTTTTCCTATGGGGCATATCGTATGGCCTTCTCAATACCCTCAACAACGCCATTGCCGTGGTTAACCAAATGTCCACCGCTCAGACGCTCGGTTTGACCAGCGCCTATTTCGGGGTTGGATATTTCTTTGGGCCGTTACTTGTTGGGGAATGGATCCTGCGGAGAGATGAGCACAACCGGTCCAAACGCCACGAAAAGAATGAAGCCGAAAACGTGGGCGGCTACAAGGTCACTTTCATTGTCGGACTGTGCATTTACGGTATTGGCACCATTATATTTTGGCCATCGGCAGTGACCAACTCGTTTGGGGGATTCATGCTGAGTAGCTTTGTGGTTGGCTTTGGACTCTCTGTGCTGGAAGTGGCGGCAAACTCGTTCATGATTCTCTGCGGACCGCCGGAATATGGCGAAACTCGACTCCTATTAGCCCAAGCCGTGCAGGGCGTGGGCAGTGTCGTCAGTGGTCTCCTCGCCCAAAAGGTCTTCTTCACCGGAATCAGCCAGGACAGCATGAGTAGGTCAAACAGCATGACGCTCATCAACGTGCAGTGGACCTATCTGGGCATCACTCTGCTCTGCGTTGTGCTGGCCTTGTTTTTCTTTTACATGCCCTTGCCCGAGGTCAGCGACAGCGAGCTCGAGTTTGCTGCCAACAAACTTCCCATTGACACAACCAAGCGAAGCATCTTGGGCTTCCAGCTGCGCACCGTCAGCCTCGTGCTGGCTGTATTCGCCCAGTACATGTACGTTGCCGGCCAAGAAAGCAACAGCATATATTTCCGCAGCCTTCTTGTTTCCATCCTCCCGAGCCCACCCGCCGGCACCGGCGCAGCGTCCGGCATGACCAAGTCTAGCTCAACATACGACCCGGACAAGCCACCAGGCATAGCCATTTCTATCCCAGACTACCTGCTCGTCGGCCACACGGCATTCGCGGTATCCCGCTTCCTCGCGGGATGCCTCACGTTCTTTTCCGTCTCTCATCGTCGACTTCCCCAACCACGCACCGTCCTCACTAGTTGCATCTTGCTGTGTTTTCTCTTCGCCTTGCTCCCCGTCGTGTTGCACCCGCCTAATCCCGACCTTGTCGTCATTCCGGTTATACTATTCTACTTTGCTGAAGGGCCCATCTGGCCGCTTCTTTTTGCTATTGGCCTGCGCGGCCAAGGGCGTCGGACGAAGCGAGCGGCAGCCTTTATCACCATGGGTGGCTCCGGCCCGGCCTTCTTCCCCTTCATCATGTATGGCATTATCGAAAACGGCGGCAGCGTACAGACGGCGTATATTGTCGTTGTCGCACTGCAGGTTGCCATGGTTTTGTACCCTGCATTCTTGCAATTCTCCCGCAGCGCAAGGCTCTTGGTCGACCCTAACCCGGATGTCCGGGCGGCACTGCAGCAGGATGGGGACGCATTGCCAACCGATCAAGTGGTGGATAGCCAACAAGACCAGGAACCGAATGGCCTTTTCGGAAGATTTTCCCAGAATCTCAAGCTTGGTGAAAGGAGGAAATCGTCTCCACCAAATGTTCAGCATGAAGAAGGCGCTATGTCGTTGGGCGCTAACCAGGTCACTTAATTTTTTCAATTTTTTCAATTTTTTTTTTCATTTCAAGTATATATCTCGGACCATGTACATATGGCTTCCTTCGCGGCTGGGATATCAAAAAGCTTTCGAGCGGTAGGCATTTGATTGGATATTAATCACCTGGCATGGGCGGCGTATAACCAGGCAGCAGCTCTGGGATGGCGTGTTTGTTGTATACCCCGATTTGATGGACTTTTTTTCCTTTTTTGATATTCATCCATTTGATGGGAGAATAGCGTCTCCAACGGGGGCCGTGAATGATAATACACATAATGACAAGCTGCTCCTGTGCACAAGTGCGTGACACTGACGAGAATGACCCCGTGCCTTTGGGCTGCGATGGCAATCCCTTGAATGTTCCTGATGCCACCTACCACTCGGAGCCGACGTCTCTCTCGATGCTCTCAAACACACCGATACCCCGGGCCCCCAGCGCCGTGGCCAAGCCCACGGCCTCGGCGCCCGCGCCCCTCATCCTCCTGTACCCGGGGGCGTCGTGCACGCCCCCGACGCCAATGACCTGCACGCCGGCGAGCCCCCGGCCGTCCAGCGCCCGCCGCAGCATCCTCACGTTGCCCAAGGAGAGGGGGTGAATCCCCGCGCCGGCCAGGCCCCCTTCCATCCATGACGCGCCCTCGCCCTCGCCCTCGCCCTCGCCTTGGTTAAACACGCTGCAGCCGAGGGTATTCGTCGCCGTGACGAAGCTCACCCTCCCCGCGTACAGCGCCAGTATATCCGCCAGCGCGGTAAACTGCCCCGCGTACGTATACGGCGGCATCTTGATGCCCACCGGCACGAGCGGGTCCCCCGGCAGCGCGGCCAGATACGCCCCCAGACAAACGGGGTCGTAGCCCGGCGGCGCCAAGCAGCCCGATATATTCGGACACGAGAGGTTGACCTCCATGGCGAGCGGGAACGAGACGCCCGACGAGGCGGCCAGGATGCGCGCGTAGCACTCGGCCACGGCGGAGGGGGGGCCGGCGACGCTGACAATGGCCGTCTTGTGCGTGACGTCCAGGGGGAGAGAGGCGCTTAGGTCCGACAGCGCGGCGAGGTACGCGTCGAGCGGGAGCGGGCTGTAGCCGAGGGAGTTGATGCTTCCGACGGGGCTGGCGGACGGGCCCCTGGCCTCGGGGGCACGGCCGGACGTGGAGGCAGGGTCGAGGAAGGCGTAGCGGTGGACGGCGTCGTCGTGGGGGAAACCCTCGATGAGGCTGGTCCGGGTGGTGATGGCGCCGGTGGAGGGGCACCGGAGGAGGGCTTCGAGGTGCGCGGGCGTCGTGGCCCAGGGGCAGGCGGTGTTGAGGAGAGGCGGGTGGATGGAGAGCTTGGGGGCCATTGATTGTTTTTGTCAAGTGTCTGGGGCAGATGGAGCGGAAGGGTCTGGTAGATTGATGGCGCGGTTGCGTGTGCGGGGTGTTGGGTGTTGGGCATCTGGTGATGGTGGTGCTGGCCCTGCAGGTGAGGTGGTGGTTTGGCGTGGGCCGTGGACCGACGTCGGCGTGTGTGTGTATCACGGCGGGGTGAGTCCATGTTGTGTCGGGTAATCACCATCTTGAACCTGGGCATCTATCCAGGGGGAGGCATTCGGAATGGAAAGAGGTAGCGTCTATGATGGTCTCTGAGGAAGCGACATCCATTGCCGCCGAGCCACTGGCAAAGTGGTCAAGTCTACGATGCATTCCCTCCTGTTTAGGCGGCATCACTTCTTCGGTCATGGACTCGTGGCGTTGCAAAGAAAAAAAGGTCCATCATGATAAAATTCGCAACAATTCCATGCCCAGTACGTGAACCCACAACGCCTTTATCCGTAACTATACATCCATCCAAAGAGATCCAAGCATCGCCAGTCCGCCAAAACGTACAATCACCATTCACCATCCAAATTCCTCGCAGTGCAGCTCGATACTCGGCCCGTCCGACCGGATACTTTCCGCCGTCGTCTCCCTCATCAAGTCCATCAGCTGAGTCGGCCCGCACCCCGTGATGAGAACCCGCTCATGAGGACGCGTGCCGCCCACCACGTCCCGGATGAGCGCCGTAATGTTGGGCTTGTGGTACCGTATCGGAATGTTGCGCAAGTCCACCGGGCCGTACGAGCTCTCGCCCGACACAGACTCGTTGTCCGACGTGGGCTGCGACTTTTCCAAGTCGATGGACGAGTCTGACGCCACTGGGCGAACGCGATGGACATGCCCCTTCTCCGTCAGGACCTCGCTGACGATGCCCGTCTCATACTGCCCGGGTGGAGGTCCGGAGAAGCCAGCGGGCAAGGGCGGCAGCGCTTTTGCCGATCTCGTGACAAAGACCTGCAGCACGAATCGAGGGTCGTCTCTCAAATTAGCCAGATGGTGGGCGAACCAGGTCAAATATGCTGCCAACAGTTGATTAGCCAAACACTCCCACAAGACAGGACGGGTATCGCGTCCAAGACCTACAGTTATACTTGACCACCCACACAAAGATGACGCGCTTCGTCATGCTCCCAGTCGTGCGGCGCAACAAGGCATTCGCCAAGCCAAAGGTAAAGCTGGCGCCACTACCGCCAGCGACCAAGACGACAGTCTCAAAGGCCGACGGGTCGGGAACGGTGCCATACGGCCCTTCGATGGACGCCTTGACAGACACCCCCGGGTTCTCCGTCGCAAACTTGTGCAAATCTCCGGTAAAGCCGTTGTGAGAAGCAATCACGAGCTCGAGAGGGTCGGCCGAAGCAAGAGTGAACGGATGTGTTTCAAACAGCCGAAGCCGCGGAATCCACAGGAAGCAGTGCTTCCCGGCATGAGCACCCAGGGGAGACTTGGCCAACGTCACGCGCGTACCTCCGTTGGGCAATGGCGTAAGCGTGGCCGTGTTGCTGCTGTGCACCATGAGTCGAACGAATCGAATAATACGATCCAGCCCCCACATGGAGCCGGCGACAATGGTGCCGTATACAATCTTCTTGGTCAACAGAGGTTGATGCAGGCCGAGGGTAACAATGGACACGACCCAGAGGCCGACGTGCAGGTAGTAGAAGAGCTCATACCACCAGCGCCGGATGAAGACGGCAGCCAATGCGAGCAGCACCCAGCAGCTCCCCGAGACGATTCCATAAATATCATTCAAGTCGAGCAGTTTCTGGCAGTAGTTGATGCTGCAAAAGTAGGCAGAGTAGCAGGCCGCGTGGACGACGAGATGCGTGACGGCGGCGTAGCCCGCGATGCGGTGAAGGCAGTTGAGCCGTTCGTACGACCACGCCGTCAAGAAGGCGAGGGGCGTGTTCTTGAGCGCGAAGAAGATGACGACGACGAGGTTCGCAATAGCCAGCCTGGGAGTGTCGTGAGCCTTTGGTCACGGTGTATTGTGTATAGTACTTACCAGCCGGTCCGCGAGGCAATGTTTGTCATGGTGGTCATGGTGCTGTCCAAGTTGGCAAAGGTGCAAACCAAGTTGAGCGCCATGAACAAGGTGGTAATGACGCCGTGGCCGAGCGAAGGCACCCCGGCGGCACGTTGAATGGTCAGCTTTCTGATTTTTCTGCGGCCAGGCATGTCAGTTGTGAATGATGACTCTGAGGCGAGGCGTGTTGCATACCTGGGTAGGGCAGCGAGCGTAGATGGTGACGACGGGTCGCGGCATCTTCGTCTCACCCAGTGGCCGGACTGTCTGACCAGGTAAAAGACTATGTAGGCAATGCCTATCGTGCCCAGCGTAATCATGAACCCCAGCGTCGTCTCCTCATTTCTCTTTGCGCGGAGGGCAAACATGCGCAGTTGCGCCTCGTCGTAGCCTGCCATTGTCACGGTGAATATGTCCGGTGTCAAAGGTCTGGTAGAAGAGGGCTTGACTAAAGAACTATGGCGGCGCGCCGGTTCCCGCAGAATCGTGTGCGACAGAAGGGTTCGAAACTCGTCAAATGTAATGCCAGAGGAAGAGAGCTATCGTTCTTGTTGGTTGAGATGATTCCGTCTCCTGGCGACGCTCCAAGACGGTCAAGATGGTGAAATGGATCCAGGGCCAAAGTAACAAACGGTTCTTGGGCCCAAGTGTCTATTCGCAAGTGTCAGGTCCTGGAAGCTCAACTAGGGGACGGTATCATGGCTCGGACGAGAGAGATGGCGGTGCGATATGGCGCTATGGTCGTCCTTTCCTAGTGACTTGTGCGTCTTGAGACCAAGTGTCGATGGCCAGGTGCGTCCCAGATTAGACAAGACGGCGCCGGTTAACGGGCACAATACACACAAGTTGAATGCTATACACGGCAAGAGATTATGGGAAAAAATCCCAGCCTGACTATTTACACGTACGTGTATATATTGTACTCGGAGTCCTTGTCGAGCCCAACTGGGTTACCTTCGGGCGTACTTGGCAACCCACGCCCCTTTACCCCCCTACTCTCTTCCATGGCGAACAGACGAGTGTGTAAGCCATGTCGTAGTTATCAACAACGTGGGAGCAAAGTGTGCTTTCCAGATGGTATCTACACAAATGGCAGCGGGACATGCTACCAAGCCAGGGGATGCTCGTGGTTGTGACCACGTACTCGCACACACACACCCCCCCACCCATCGTCAAGAGGTCTACGATACATTAAACTTTTCGAAACAAGCCTCGGACTAGGCACAGGGATGTCTTGGCAAGAAAATCATGCCGAGCGGGTAGGCCCACGGCTTGGAGATGCAAGGCACGGTGCTGAGGGCCGTCAACACTACGCAGGGACGTTACACCATCCTCTTAGGATCTACTAGATCATCACATACGTACTAGGTCATGCCCACTACATTGTACATGTGTATGTACATACACAGAGGGAACTCGTCTCGCGCAGAACGAGAACCAAGGCTTCCACCAAGCACGCCAAGTGCGGTCGAGGGGGTCGTGCGCACCGGCTGTGTTCCCCTTGGTAGGAATAGCCAACTGTTTTGAAACCACAGGCGAGAAGGGTTCTTTTTGTACAATTTCTTTTTTTTTTAAAAGGGTTGTAAAATGAGATTGATAAGAAAGGAGGCTCGAGGCACGGCGGTGGATATGCACCAATGTGGTGCGACGGGACCAGACGTCGGACGGCTCGACGCGACGCTGTGCTGTCAAAAATCTGCAACAGCACATCGCAACTGGTGTGGTGTCAAGGGCATCCGAAAATGGAAGGTCGACGAGTTACAAGGTCAGAATCCAGTGTCCCACGTGTGCGAGTGTAGACCCGAGAGCTGTGGTGCGTCATGTCCCCCGCGCAGGAATGGGCTTGGGTCCCTTGAGGAGCGAGTCGACGCTGGCAAGTTGCCAGTGGCATCAAATGGGCTAGTCGACATGTCGATACATCATTGAATCAATTGATGTCAAACATGTGGTCCTGGCGCGCGGCGCATAGACAGACCAGCAGCCCGATCCAGCCGGATGCGAGGCTAAATCGCGGAACCTAGCTGGGCATCACGACACCATGAGCTAGTATGTACATCAATACTAGTACTCAAATCAATTGCGCCATTTCCGATGACGCCTCCAGCACGGTGTTTTGCGGCCGTCGACGCCACTCCTGGCTACGATCTCTGCCACGGCGGCCCGCGTCCTCGATTGGCGAAACAAGTCGATGCGCGAGGCGGGCGAAACGCCTTGATCAAATCCATCCATCGTTGACGCTTTGGCGTTGCTAGATAACTCGACGGCGGAGACGGCCGTGTGTGCGTGCTGGGCGCAATTCGGCGGCAGACTGTTGCCGAGTTGCATCATCAACATCATCAAGAGTCAGTGGCCGAGGTAGGGTTTCCGACACGCCATGGTAGCTGTTCGGAACATTGATCCTTGGGCCTTCCGCCGACAGAGGCAGCACTCCGCCATTTCTGCCCCGTCTGCGCAATCTGTTGAAGAAGGGGGGCCCAGAAACAGAAGGACTTGAGGGTTACTGCCCATGTCGAGTTTGTTTCGGCACCTGGGCCGGGCGGCGAGTCGAGGTTTGGTTCACATGTTACATTGTCTGCACGGGCGTTGGGCCGGGCGTGTGTACGTGGACATGTGTACCGGAGTGATTTTCATGCATCCATGGCCGTTGCTGCGTGGGATGCCGCCATGGTTCCGTCGAGTCTGGTGTCCATGACCCCCAAGTCATGACATTGAATCTTGGTGTTGCTGATGGTTGGGCTGCTGGATGCACCGCGATTCCTTCAATTCTACAGCACTCCAACCACGGGTCTCGCATGGGCGGGAACAGGCCGTTGAAACAGCCAGAAAGAAAAAAAGTACATAGAATGCGCTGTCTTGTACGTAGAAAAAAAGAAAATCGATGCTCGGGATGGGACGTCTGTTCCGATTCTCCGGGTCGCCCACGGCGTCCGATTTGATGTCTCCATTTCAATCGATGTCGACGGTCCATTTCAATTTCCCACAGCACGGCTGCGCCAGACTCCATCCCCGTCTGCCGAGCACCATGGGGTAGTCATCTACGACTAATATCGTCATGTCCATTACCAACGTGTCCCCATCATGCCATCTCCCGATGTGCTCCCCCGCAAAAAGAAACATGATTGATGAAAGGGGACATGGAGCATGCTACAATGCACCACCACCACAGCTCACCAGACCAGACGCCACATGCATTAATCGATGCATCAATGATGGCGCCATGTTGCACGCTGACGCATCTACCGCGCGCCTGGCAGCAGCTCCCATTCCGCCCGCTTGGTCGCCTGCAAAAGAAAAAGAGATCAAAAAAAAAAATCGACCAAAACATGGCCATGTGTCGAAGCCATGGATGGTAAAATGGCTTATTGATCCATGTCCACGCGTCAACCCGGGCAGACCCAGTTCGGCTCCCGCATAATAGCATTGATAAGTTACAGAAGTTGCATGGGGCCGGCCAATGAGAAAGTCCCGCACGAACCTCGCATCTGTTTCGCATGCCGGTATACTTTGCTGATCCCTTGGCTGATGAAAAAAACGTTCAATGTTTTCTTATCTCGACCATCGGTGCTTGCATCGCCTAGATGAAAGGGGCTTCCAAACGAGGGTGAGTGCGCGGCTTTGATCTCGGCGTGGCGGAATTTGCCGTCTCATCAATTGATCACTTTGACTTGGGACTGCGTGTGTTTTTATCCGACTTGAGAGAATGGCGACATTCTGCCAGTGACATACGGAGTAGTGCGCCTTGACTCGACTCCCATCCTATGTCGACGCTACTTTGAACACGGGCTGCATCATCGAGTTGACCATCTTGTGACGACGCTCGAATATCAATATGCAAATGGCACCTCGTCGTCTAGTATCGCCATTCACGACCAAGTTTTGCACATACATACACATCCCGCAACCGCTGCCCGCGGGCTCCGAAGCAAGATGGACAAGAAATCGAGTCATGACAGGTATTATATACCATTGATACATGTTCAAATGTTTGTACATGCCGCCGTGCCAGTCGCCGGCCTCTAGCAACACGCCCGCAGACCTACATGCGCGGTTTCATCCCCCGATATCAATGCAGCCAACACGGCGAATATATACACGTCGGCCCCTCATCAACGTCGTGCAAAACGTCCAGTGTAAAACTCCCGTCTGGCGTTTTGCATCGCATCCCCGACGGCCAAGGGGCTTCCCATCCCTCCCCAACACCAGACGTCTCGATCCCATCCTAGCCTCCTCCCCCGATTCGTCCCATTCTACTTCTTGCCGCGCGCAGCCTTGGCCCTGTCCGCGTCGGCATCGCGGAGAAACAGCTCCTCACGCTCCCACATGAGCTCCACGGCGGCGCCGGCAGGACTCGCCAGGACAGACAAGGCCGCCACCTTGGCCAGCACGCTCGCCAGGCCGACCTCGACGCCGGCGGCGCGGTGCGCGCCCCGGTGCAGGCTCACGGCCCAGACGAGCACGCCCGCCGACCCAATCAGGTAGTCCCA